TTTAATTAAATATAGTACTAGTATTATATATCATTAGAAAGCTAATTAAATTATATATAATTATGTATATACAACTTCAAAACTCTTAGAACAAAATTGTTTAGAAAGAATGATTAAACTTAAATTTTCCTCTTGGAAAAGAAGAATTACTGCACGTAAATGAGGGACAAAATACTTAAGGTGTGAAGTTGGCGCGCTTCAAGAACGGTTAGGATTTAAAATTCAAATTTCAATATATTTGAGAAAATATTGTTTGAATAAGTATATATTATCATATATCATTAGAAAGATAATAAAATTATCTATAAATCTATATATAACGCTTTTCAAACAAAATTAAATACGAAAAATGAGTAAAATTTAGTATCTACCTAGTTATTAGCCTTTAGTAGGTTTCATTGGTTACATTTTTTTAGATTTCGTTAAATTTTGTCAATAATTTGTTTAAACATATATATATTATTATATATCGTTAAAAAGCTAATAAAGTTATCTACAAATCTGTATATAACATTTAGTAACTTTTAGAACAAAATTATATTTAAAAAATTGTTTAAACTTTATACTTGAATACCAAACCGAGTTGAAACAAAATTACTGCACGTAAATTGGGAACAAAATACTTCGAGTGTGAAGTTCGCGCGTTTGTAGCAACCGTTAGGATTTGAAATTCAAATTTCAAATATATTTGAGAAAATAATGTTTGAAGGTGAATATATTATTATATATCATTAGAAAGCTAATTAAATTATCTATAAGTAAGTATATAACATTTCAAAGAACTTAAAATTGTCTAAAATAACTTTTATCTCATATACACTTAGATTTTGTCCAATTTCTATGTGAAACGATTCACAATGACCTAAAACGTCAAGGAGAGAATATAAAATTATTTAATCGGATTTTCTAGCAAAAGCAAAGTTTACCTTCGACGAATAAAATTTATAGCTTTTAATATTAATATAATATTAATTAATAAAATAAATTAAATCAATAAATGATTAAAACATTTTGTTAAGACTGGTTGTATAATTTTTATTAATATCTAATTTTAATAATTAATTAACACCGAAGACACTGTACTGTACGCATATTAATTAATTCATTCAGATTTAAATTTCCTATATAATAATATCCATCCACTGACAAATTCTAAAAATCTTGATAATATTTTAAAAATTTAAATATCAAAAAAGCCTTCGATAAAATTTAAAAAAAAAAATCATATTAATAACAAATAGGCCCAGAAAACAAATCAATATATACATATATAAATAATAATATATACATATATAAAAAGCATATTCAAAAAATATATACAGCTACTTATTTAATTAATTATACGGGCAAAACTAAAATACTAAACAACTCGAATAAAATTCTCTGAATAAAAAATTTCTAAGTTTCTAACTAAATTTCTTGATTTTTGATTTTATAATAAAAGGTCATCACATTATTTCTAATTGTAATTTTAAATCTATTCATCAGATACGTAAAGAGCAAAAATTAAATTGAAAATTATATTTAAAAATGCTCGAGGATATTTTGCAACATTTATATATATATATATATATATATATATATATATACATACATATGTTTTCTATACTAGACAGTATTATAGACAATTTAATTTAGCACAAATTTGCCGAATATTCCATGTACTTTGGACAGACCGTTCAAAAGTTACAGGAGACGTAACAAAAGTAGACCATTGGGTTGCGGAACTATAAAAAGTACAGTGAGTAAAGATGTAGTGACGTCACATATGTCGTGTGGGGTATCAAATGAAAGGTCTCGACGAGAACTATAAGAAAATCGTACTTATATACTCGTTAGGATGGACGTCTATATTTTACAAACAAGATCTCTATTAAAGTAAAGTATTTCGTTCAAATTTTTATATAGTTTAATTTTTTTAAATTATGTTGATGGATGTTTACTCTTTTTTGTATATATATATATATATATATATATATATATATATATAATTATAAATGTTGCAAATTGTTGACTATTCATTTAAATAAATTTCTTCTTAAGTACTACATTAATGGTAATGTTTTTATTCGATGTGCATAATATATATATATATATATATATATATATATATATATATATATATATATATATATATATCCCAGACAATGTCGGGCATAAAAACTTTTGAAACTACTCACATTAAAACTATTATCTTCCAATTAAACCTTGTCGATATCCTTATGCTTCTTATTTCTTAATTATTCTTAAATTTGAAAAGCTTTATCAAAAAATTGGCATCATAAACATAATTTCTTTCATATTGCCTGTAAAGAAAAAGCAGCAAAACATGTTAAATGTTACAAAAAATATTTATAACCCCGATATTATTCAATATCACTCTTTATAAATAATATTATCATCTTTTACCGCAATTTCCTTGCTACGTCCATTTGTTGAAGTTCTAATCACGCGCTTCGAACTTTCAATTCTAGACTTATAGTCAAGAATTTTATTCTATCGCAAGACGCTTGGTGCGCTACGTCCTTTACGAATGTCCGAATTTGTTATTTGAACGTTCAAGCTGGACTTGTACATGTTATACAAATAAATTCTTGACTATATGTTTATAGTTAAATAATTGTTTGATTTCGTACGTTTCAACCCACTGTACTATTTATAGTATAAATAAATTTATGCATATTTATACTTAGTAGTATCTAAATACTTTAATTTATCTTAGATAAACTATTTATAAGAGTTTTGTTAAGTAAATGCACACATATGAGCTGTCATACTATAAATAATACAATGAGTCAAATTTGAGTTAAAAAGTTTTACTTCAAATATAGGCATGTTGGGTATCAAATAAAAGGTCTCCATGAGCACTAAACGAATATTATAAGGAACACTGATGACAAGCAAATTAAACTTGAAATTAAATTCAAGTCGGACTTGACAAGAATAATAGTATTTATTTTTTTTTAAAAAAGGGACTCTATTGACGTACACATTCAACAAGAACTAAAACTTGGACTTTTTTTTTTAAAAAAAAAGTGCCTCTACTGACGAGCAAATTTACTTGAAATTAAATTCAACTCGGACTTGACAAGAATAATAATAATTTAAGAGACTCTACTGACGAGCAAATCTAGAACAAAAAAATACTAAAATGATAGTTTAGGAAAAGGGACTCTACTGACGAGCAAATTCAAAGTGAACACTAAAATATTAGGTTAAAACAAAAACTATACTGTCGACAAAATTCAGTACACAACTAGTTTTTTCAATTTCTGATACCATTTTTTGCTATTTTAAAGTATACCGACTTGCTCTAAGATTTCTATACCAGACAATATTATAGACAGTTGAATTTAACACAATTTCACAAAATATTTTATTTATCTCAAACGAACGGTTCAAAAGTTACAAATAATTTTTTTACAAAACGTTACAAAAGACCATTGGGTTGCCGAACTATAAAAGTACAGTGGTCCAAGACGTTGTGACGTCACATACGGCATGTGGGGTATCAAATGAAAGGTCTTAACAAGCACTATAAGAAAATCATACTTATAGACTCAACAAACCAATAAGATGTCGTATAAGTATTTTTTTAAATTTCTAATATCAATTTTTGTCCAAAAACTTTTCAAAATGCTTGTTTATATTATAAACAATTTAATTTAGCACAATTTCACCGAATATTCCATTTGCGTCAGACAAACGGTTCAAAAGTTACAAGAGTTTTTTTACAAAACGTTACGGTAGACCATTGGGTTGCTAAACTATAAATAGCACAGTGGGCCAATACGTTGTGACGTCACATACGGCATGTGGGGTATCAAATGAAAGGTCCCGACGAGTACTATAAGAAAATCATACTTATAGAATCAAAAAATAAGATGTCGTATAAGTGTTTTTTTTAATTTCAAATATCAATTTTTGTCGAAAAACTATTCAAAATGCTTGTTTATATTATAGAGCATTTAATGTACCACAAATCCACCGAATATTCTATTCATCTCGGACAAACGGTTCAAAAGTTACAAGAGATTTTTTACAAAACGTTACAAAAAACCATTGGGTTGCCGAACTATAAAAGTACAGTGGGTAAAGCTGTAGTGACGTCACATATGGCATGTGGGGTATCAAACGAAAGGTCTCGACGAGCACTATACAAAAAACATAATTATAACCTCAAAAAATTCAAACAGTTCCGTACAAATAATGTATTAACTATTTAATGTTGACGTGTGTTCAAAAATTCTACAATACATTTGAGTATGTTATAAAGCATTAAATTTAGAACAAAGTCACTGAATATTTCATTTATCTCAGACGAACAGTTCAAAAGTTACAAGAGATATAATGAAAAGTAAACCAATGGGTTGCCGAAATATGAGTTAAAAAGTTTCACTTCAAATATAGGCATGTGGGGTATCAAATGAAAGGTCTCAATGAACTCTATACAAATATCATAATTATGCACTAAAAATGAAAACAGGTTCGTACCAATCAATTAATTATCAAAATTTTAATATCAATTATCTTAATTTTAATGTATACGGACTTGTAAGCTTTCTATAATCATATATATTATATAAATCTTTGTATTTAAGCCAAATTTTTCGAATATTAAGCCAAATTTTTTTATTTTTATTTGTTTTAGACGTACGGCTCAAAAGTTACAAGAGGTGTAACAAAAGTAGACCATTGGGTTGCGCAAACTATAAATAGCACAGTGGGTAAAGATGTAGTGACGTCACATATGGCATGTGGGGTATCAAATGAAAGGTCTCGACGAGCACTATCTAAATATCATATTAAAAATTAAGCTCGACATTATCTGGAATATATTTTTTGACTAACTCGTATATATATATATATATATATATATATATATAAACATATATATATATATATATATATCCATATTAAATAAATATCATATATAATTTTACAATTAATAAAATCCTATATAAGAAATCTAAGCATGTAGATAATTGATTTATGTTCATTTGTGTGCCTCGAATAATAATAATCATAATAATAATAATTATTAAAGAATCAACGCAAATCGGGATTGTCGTTCAGCTGTTTCTTAATACGTAACAAAATTGTGGTATACCACTGGTCTAGTCTTGAAATGCTATCGTACTCCTTGACGGTATCGGTAAAGCCTTCCACGTTCTGCTCTTCGATGTGCTCTATGAGAGTCTGGAAAAGAAATAAACTAGGTGTGAGTGAAGGAAGTGAAATAATTTTGTGACGTCACATATGGCATGTGGGGTATCAAATGAAAGGTCTCGACGAGCACTATAAGAAAATCGAACTTATAAACTCAGCAAACAAATAAAATGTCGTATGAATTATTTATTGAATTGCTAATGTCAAATTTTGTTCCAAATTTTTTGGAAATATTCGAGTATGTTATAAAGCATTGAATTTTGAACAAAGTCACCAAATATTCCGCTCAATTTGGATAAACCGTTCAAAAGTTACAAGAGTTTTAATAAAAAGTAAACCATTGAGTTGTCGTGGCCGTGTACAAACTTAAGTTTAGATGTTTTACTTCAAATATAGGCATGTGGGGTATCAAATAAAAGGTCTCGACGAGCGCTATTTAAAAATCATATTTAGAGATTAGAAAAATAATATAGCATTGTAGCATAATATGTTACAAATAAAAATATGTTGGAGATTTGCTGTTCTTGGTGCACCTACTGTTACGTTTTTATTTTTTTGTTGTTGATAGTCCCTCAATGTGTTGGTAATCACGGAGACAAAGAAATAAATTGAAAAGGGACTCTACTGACAAGCAATCTAAAAAATAACTAGTGGTGTATGGCATCATGTCTTAATGCAAATTGCTGGAACTTCCCGCGTACCGTAATGAAATAATCGAGGAATTTCAAACGTTTTCACATATATCATTGCAACAAATAGTGTAACTTTCATTATTTTTGCACTATCTTATTATATCTGACAAGCAAATTAAATGTAAATCATAAATCAATTATCTTCAGAACATTGACAATCGTCATTTTATTTCGTATTTAATTTAACAAAAAAAATTGTTGCCTAATTTGCACAAAATTGAAAAAGTGCTCCCGCATAGTCACAGTCTAAACGCAAATAATTCTGTGCAACATTTTCACCTATACTGTGCTTAGCTTGGTGGCATTTTCACATTTTTCGATAGTTTTCACAAAATTCGAATTGGAAAAGTGCTCCAGTACGTAAACAGTCTAAACGCACTTGCGAAAACATTTGTACCAGAGCGGCACTTAGATGTGCTTAGCCTGAGTCATTTTTTTAATTTTTAATTCAAAATTACAAAAATATTTTATGGAAAATAAAAAAAGATGTAATATTTTTTTATCCTAAAAAAACATTTGTTTTGTCAATACAAGCAGGAGGTCTTTGGAATCATTCAAATCGGAGTATCATTCCCAACTAATATCTTTCGAACTAGTTCTCTCAAAAACTGCGATTTTTTTTAACACTCAGCTCTGTATCTCCGAAACCGCTGGGCCTACTTTTGCCAAAAACTAATAACCACTTCTCCCCGTGATTACGAATTGAATGTTTTTTGGATCATTCAAATTGGATGCTCCGTTCTCTCAAAAACTCGATTTGTATTTTCTGCACTCTTTACTCATTATCTCCGAAACGACTGAACATGCCTTCCCTAAAAACTAATCTCCCTATCAGTATAAATCCAATGTTTTCTGAATTATTCAAATCGGTTGATCCGTGCGCCCGAAAACGTAAACGAAAAAAATCAAACACACAAGCACATCCATTTTTTCTAAGGTATGCCAAAGTGTTCAGAAACCTCTGAAACGTAAAGACATATAAAAAAATTATTTTCGGGTTTTTTGCGATTGCTATAAAAGTAAAATTTGATAAGAGTAAAGTTTGGTAAGAGTTATAAGAAAATTTAATAAGAATAATAGTAATATTTAAAAAAAAAATCGAACTTTAAAATGTTTTATTCACTTGCCAAAGTAAACTGGGTACTTTGTGCAAATAATTGTTAATATTCCAAAATTTCCCGAGAAAACTTATTAGTTTTAGTATTTATCATCATAGTATACGCATTGGAAAGTAACATACTCAAATTACAACATTCTGGTATAAATAGAGTAATTTTAAAAATTCATCAAAATTTAAAATGTTTTTTTTTTTAATTGCACAAAGTAAACTGGGTACTTTGTTCAAATAATTGTTAATATTCCAAAATTTTTCAAAAAAACTTATTAGTTTTAGTATTTGTCATCATAGTATATGCATTGGAAAGTAACATACTCAAATTGCAACATTCTGGTTTAAATAATGTAATTTTAAAAATTCATCAAACTTTAAAATGTTTTTTTCAATTGCACAAAGTAAATTGGGTACTTCGTTCAAAATATTTGTTAATTAATTTGTTAATTGTTGCTAATATTTCAAAATTTTCCAAGAAAACACATCAATTTTAGTATTTATAATCATAGTATATGCATTGACAAGTAACATACTCAAAATACAACATTCTAGTACAAACAGTATTATTTAAAAGAAAATCTAGTAAATCCTAAAATTAAAAAATTAACTTTACTTGATAAATATCTTGACGCTAAATAATTTTTCTTGAAAAAAATATTTAATGCAGATTATTATAATTTGGCTAAATAATACTTGAAATATTATATCAAATATTAAAATTACTAAACACTATTCGTTTTGTTTCATTGCAAAAATATTCAAAATTTTTCCAAACAAATTCGTCAACAAATATTACGAAATTTTGTTTCTTATATTTACATTTTTTTTAAAAATCAGTACATCCAAACTACTTTACTCAAAAGGTTGTAATTTAGGTATGTTTTACCTTAAACATTCTTTTAAATGCAAAAAATACAAAACATGAAAATATTCAACTAGAATAATTATTATAAATTATTTACTGAACCAGTAACAACTTCTTCACACTGATTTCTTTGAAGCAAAATTGTAAAGGGACTTTATTTATAAATAATTTGTATGTCAAAATTAATTTGGATATATGATACTTTCAATATTATTTTAAATATTAAAAATATTAAACTATTAAATGGCCATATTTTCTGTGCAGTTAATGTGATAAAAATTCACATAACCCAAATGTAAAATCTAAGTGCAAAAGCATTTGTAATTAAATCAGAACTAAATTTATTATTAAATTTAGTTTGTTTAATTTGCTTTAAACTCAATTTATCAATATTTTTGTGAAAATTTTGGCACCAAACACTATTTTTTGACTGCAGTTATTTTTAAATTAGACTAAGTATGTTAAAAAATCAAATGTTTTAATATTTCAGGAAACAAGGAAAATAGACTGGAATGAAAGGAAAAGCAGAAAAACATACGAAATAGAAGACGACAATATAAATAGAGTGAGTGACCACAAGAAAATTCTCAGCGTATGAGAAAAATACATTGAGAAATTGTACGATAGAGAAAATCATCCTTATAATATTGATTGTCCTTATAATTTAACTTTACTTCTTTTGAACCACTGATTACCACCAATAAATTTTTAAAAGTTTTTGCTTTATATTTTTTACTTGTTACGCCCTCCAAAAAATTAATATATATATATATATATATATATATATATATAATGAATATTTTTATCCACTTACCATAACTAATTTACATTCCCGAGAGTCCTGAAAAGCAGGATACTGATTATTATATCTCTCGATGGCCTGCTGAGCGTTTAGTGAATCAATACACAGATGACAAAGGGCAGCCCGGAAGAAATAATCCTTAGCACTGTATTTTAACAGAGAAGATTCCAACGAAACAGAAGCGATCTGAAAATAAATGAAAACATTGATCAATTAATATACTTAAATAATTGTGATAATTAAGTAGTTACTAAAGTAAGTTTAAATGTACCTGTTCATAAATTTGGATGGCACGATCATACTCTTCGAGTTGAGCAGCATATTGAGCAACTTTCAACATGCATTTGTTGGCAGAACTATTACTTTCTTCGCCCTAAAAGAAAAACACACACACAATACTCACAACAAAATCCTTTTATTCATAAATACAGTTATTTAAATTAAATTTTCTTTGATACTCGCCTTGAAATAATCAGCAGCCTGTTCGTAATGATGAACAGCCCTTGCCAAATCTATCGACTCGGTTTCATACATCTCAGCGATGCTCTGGTGATGCTTTGCTGCCATTGTGAAACGTCCCATGTCTGTGTAAATGTCGATTGCCTTTAGTAGACATGATACGGCCTCTGAAAATAGAAAAAAAGTGTAAATATATATGATATTCGTATAGAGCTCGTCAAGACCTTTCATTTGATACCCCACATGCCATATTTGACGTCACAAAATTTTTACCCGATGTACTGTTTATAGTTCGCGCAACCCATTGGTCCGCTTTCGTTACATTTCTTGTAACTTTTGAACCGTTCGTCGGAGATTAATGAAATATTCGGTGGATTTGTTGTAAATTAAAAGCTTTATAGCATACTTTAATATTTTCAAGATTTTTTTAATAAAAATTGTCATTAGAAATTGAGTAAATTATTTATACGGAACTGTACAGATTTTTTGAGTCTATAAGTATGTTTTTCGTATAGTTCTCGTCGAGACCTTTCATTTGATACCCCACATGCCTATGTTTGATGTGTCAACATTTTTAACCTGCTGTTCTGCAACCCATTGGTCTACCTTATATTAAATCGCTTGTAACTTTTGAACCGTACGTCCAAAACGAATAAAATATTCGACAAATTTGTCTTAAATACAAAGATTTATATAATATATACAAATATAGAAAGCTTATAACTCGCTATACATTAACATTAAGATAATTGATATTGAAAATTTGATAATTAATTTATTCGTACGAAAATCTTTTGATTTTTTTGTACATAAATATGATATTTGTATAGTACTCGTCAAACTCAAAAAAATTTAGAAAAAGTTTAGAAAAAGGACTCTACTGACGAGCAAATTAAGAAAAAAATACTAAAACATTAGTTTAGAAAAGGACTCTACTGACAAGCAAACTCAGAGAAGAAACTACAATATCAGTTTAGAAAAAGGACTCTACTATCGAGCAAAATAAAATTCTTAATATTAGGGTCATCAATCTGCAACAAAAAGGGAGTCTACTGACGAGCAAATTAAATCTAAATTAGAAGAAACACTTTAACCATCAACAAATCAAAATAATTTAAAAAGAACTCTACTGACGAGCAAACTAAGTAGCAATATTATAAAAAAAATGTGTAAACGTTGTTTAAAAATGCTAAACAATATGAGACAAAAAAACAAAAAGGGACTCTACTGACGAACAAATTAGTATATCAATTCAATTTCCTTATTTAAAAAAAAACTACTGACGAGTAAATTGATCCATTTGTTCATTTTATTTTAGAAAAGACGACTCGTCGAATTAATATATATGCTAAATTTTCTTTTTTTGGAAAAAAGAACTCTACTGATGAGCAATTTTATATTAATATTATATATTAAGTTTATATAATAGTTTATATAATATTTTATATAATTATTTTTTTCATTTATTTTATAATAAAACTACTGAAAACATCTTTTCAAAAAACCTCAACAGGGACTCTACTGACGATCAAACCCGATTTAGAAAATTAGAAATAGAACTCTACTGACGAGCAAACTAGGTTAGTATAAAAATCTAAAGTTTATGAGTGAATTTATATAGCTACACTTATTTATTATACACGCCATAACTTCTAAACCATTCGTTTAAAAAGAATGATGTCTTCGGCAAATTTGTTGTAAATTAAATTATAAACAATTTTGTCTAACATCATTTTGCTCTAGAGCAACTCGGTATACTCTAAAAACTCTTTTAAAGATAAATATTTAACATACAACTTTGCATCCGCCATTATTGTGAAGGACTCGCATAGTAAAAACGGCGGAAGCAAAGTTGTACTTGTAATATTGAAAGCAAATACATTTGTTTTATTTCGTCGCTCGTAACTTCCAAACCATTCGTTTAGTATGAATGATGTATTTGGGAAATTTGCGCAGAATTAAATTATAAACAATACTGTCTAATATTATAACAGTCTACAGCAACTCGGTATAGTAATAAATGAGAAATATAATTAGAAACAATATTTACACCTAGCCTTCATTGACATTGTACATTGTAAGAGAATTCATTTATCAAAACTCTTGTAATTTTCAAACCGTTCTCTTAATATGAATGATGTATTTAGGAAATTTGTTCAAAATTAAATTATAAACAATATTGTCTAATACTATAACAGTCTACAGCAACTCGGTATAGTAATAAATGAGAAATATAATTAGAAACGACATTTACACCTAGCCTTCATTGACATTGTACATTGTATGAGAATTCATTTATTAAAACTCTTGTAACTTTCAAACCGTTCCCTTAATATGAATGATGTATTTAGGAAATTTGTTCAAAATTAAATTATAAACAATATTGACTAACATCATAAAGCTCTACAGCAACTCCGTATACTTTAAAATAGCAATAGAAATGCAACAATAAATGTGAGTATGAAGTATACTAGTTTCCATACAAACTAAAAATTCTCATGGATTTTTTCCATAGTGTGTGAAGTGACATCTTGGTTTGGAATTTAGTATACCGAGTGCAAATTTTTGTTGAAAGGCTTGTAACTTCTAAACCATTTGTTTAATTGGAATGATGACTTCAGCAAATTTGTTGTAAATTAAACAAAGTAAAATATTGTCTAACACTATAGCACCCTAAAGCTACTTATTCTACTTAAAAAGATGATCAAAATCATTCAATTATCTTATCAACAAAGCAAATCATCATTTACCACTTTATTGTTATTCTGATGACTCAGATAAATATAAATATAAATTATATATATATATATATATATATATATATATATAAATAATATAATATAAAAAATATTATTTATTACCATTGGTGTCACTTTTCTTGTAACAATTAGCAGCATCCACGTAATTAGTAGCAGCATCGTGTCTGCTCCCGGCTTTAGCATGAAGCCCTGCCGCTTCACAAAATGCATGTCCAGCTTGGCCCCACTTTTTAGCCATTTTAAACAAATTGGCAGCTCTTTGATAACACTCGACTGCATCTTCTACTTTGTTAGAACCCCTACAAAAGATAAAAGACACATTAACTAAAATCCATATGTAGATATAGACATTACAAGTCAAAGTTTAGTTTACTATTAGATACAAGAAGTATATAAATATATTTTATTATATCTTATGTCTTCTGTCAAAAAAATCAATCAATCCCTCTCACCCAAACAAGGATCCAAAAAATCCCTTAGAAGAGCTCAGTTTCTTCTCAGCCTCTGCCATAAGTTGCATGGCCTTCTGCTCGTTATCAGCCATGATTAATTAAACGATATTTATTAATTAAACACTAATTTTTAGCACTTTTTTCGTGATTAATCATCAATTTCTACGAAGACCTTTCTTATTGACAAAATGGTTGCGAATGATTCCTCAAGAGGGCAAAGGCAAAGATGCCAACATGGAATTTGAAATTGAAATAGTAAAATATTGATTAATATTAGGTAAAATATGTTAAAAAGTTGCGCTGAGGAATTCTAAGATATGTGGTGTTTGTGAAGTTTATGAATTTGTTCGTATTTGGTTTAATTTGTGCAAAAAGTTTGTATTTTGACAGGTCAAGCGACGGCCATGTTTGTGCTAAACTGTCAATGGAGTGAAAACTGTCGACGCGCGCGAAAGATCAATAATTCAAATTAGTAAATTAGTTTTATGTCGCGATTTTTTATTTGCACGTGCATTTTGTTGTAAATATTAAGAATATAACAATATTATTATACATTGTTAAAAAGCTTATGAAATTATCTACAAATCTGTATATAAGGTTTGATAACTTTTCATACAAAATTATGTAAGAAAAATTTGTAAAATTTACTAAATTCATTGTGTGTGAATTATTTTAAAATTTATAATTATTCTGTTCAGGTTTATCTCTGTATTATTAAATAAATATTACATAATTTGAGTTTAAAACAATTCTATAGTGTATATTGTGTGTTTAATGTGCAAATCTTTATGTATTTGTAATAAATTGTGTTATTATTATTTATTTGGACAGTTCAAGCGGCGGCCATGTTTGTGCTAAACTGTCAATGGAGTGAAAACTGTCGACGCGCGCGAAATATCAATAATTCAAATATGTAAATTAGTTTAATTTTTTTATTTGCACGTGCATTTTGTTGTAAATATTTGGAATATAACAATAGTGTCATATACTGTTAGAAAGGTTATGAAATTATCCACAAATCTGTATATAAGGTTTGATAACTTTTCACACAAAATTATGTAAGAAAAATTTGTAAAATTTACTAAATTATTTGTGTGTGAATTGTTTTAATATTTATAATTATTCTGTTCAGGTTTATCTATGAATTATTGAATAAATATTACATAATTTGAGTTTAAATTAATTCTATATCATGTAGTGTTTGTGGAATATACAAATCCTTTTGTATTTGTAATAAATTCTGTTATTTATATTTATTTTGACAGTTAAAGCAGCGGCCATGTTTGTGCAAAACTGTCAATGAGGCGAAGCGCGCGAGTTGTAAATAATTTAAATATTTGATTTGTATGTAAGTTGTGTTTATTGTTTAAATTAAATCTAATTAAGTATGAATAAATATATAGTGATATATATTGTTAGAAAGCTTATAAAATTGTCTACAAATCTGTATATAACGTTTAATAACTTTTTTAACAAAATTAAGTAAGAAAAATGTTTTAATTTCCAGTTGTAAATAATTTAAATGTTTGATTTGTATGTAACTTGTGTTTAATGTTTAAATTAAATCTATTTAAGTATAAATAACTATTTAGTATTATATATTTGTGTATCTACAAATCGGTGTATAATATTGTAAAATTGTATATAACGTTTAAAAACTTTTCAAACAAAATTATAATATATAAATTGTTTAAATTTTAAAGTGACGATTTACTTGTTTGTAGTTATAAGAAATTGTGTTACATTTTTTTATATTTACGTTTATATTGTTCTATATATATATATATATATATATATATATATATATATTATTATATATCATTAGAAAGATAATAAAATTATCTACAAATCTGTATATAACAATTTAAATCATTTGAAACAAAAAATAAATTAAAAAATTGTTCGGAAAGTGAACATTTAGTTGCTTGTAAAGAGTTGATTTTTTATCCAGTTATATTTTTTTACATTTATGTTAATATTGTTTAAACTTGTTCTAACACACATATATCATTATACATTATTAGAAAACTAATTAAATTATTCATAAATCCGTATATAACAATTTATAACTCTCAGATCAAAATTGTCCAGAAAAAATGACTAAACTTTTATTTGACGTCATTTTAGTATACTAAGATACCTGCTGCTTACATTTTTTCGAATTTTGTTAAATTTTGTTAATAATTTATTTGAAAATGTAAATAACAATTTGTAATTTTTAGAACAAAATTATATTGAAAAAATTGTTTAAAAGGTCTGAGTCGTTCCACGAACTTTGGTAAACTAAAATGTTTCTTTTTATATATTTTTATCGATTTTCTAAATAATTTGTTTTAATAAATATATATTATTATATATCATTAGAAAGATAATAAAATTATCTACAAATCTGCATATAACATTTAGTATCTTTACAGACAAAATTACATATTTTCAAAAAATCTTTGAAGCTTTGGAATCGAAACTGAATGTCATTTTATAAAATTGTGTAAAATCAGATTTATCCGTTGCAGTTATTTATATTTGCGTTTATTTTGTTATATATATTTAAACTATAACAACATTATTATATATTGTTAGAAAGCTAATTAAATTATCTATAAATCTGTATATAACGTTTTATAGCAATTTGAACAAAATTATATTTAAAAAATTGTTTAAATTTTAAATTTGAATACTCACTTTTGTATGTGTTTTGTGGTCATCACTTGTAACTTCCAAACCATTCGATTAATATGAAGGATGTCTTCTGGAAATTTATACAAAATTAAATTATAAACAATATTGTCTAACATTATAATACTCTATAGCAACTCGGTATACTATAAAATAACAATTTAATGTAATAAATAATCTGAGTGTAAGGTATATTAGTTTCCATACAAACTAAACGTTATCAAAGACTTCAACCATAGTGTGTACAAGAATATCTGGTATTGGAATTCAGTATACTTGGTGCATATTTTTGCTTTTTGGCTTGTAACTTCTAAACCATTCGTTTAATATAAATGATGTATTTAGGAATTTTGTTCAAAATTAAATCATAAACAATATTGTCTAACACCATAACACTCTACAGCAACTCGGTATACTCTAAAACACCCTTAAAAAAACATATCGGGTACAACTTTCCCTTCGCCATTATTATAAAGAACTCGCCTTATAAAAACGGCGGAAGCAAAGTTGTACATTTAATATTGAGCACATTTTGTTTCGTCGCTTGTAACTTCCAAACCATTCGTTTAATATGAATGATGTCTTCGGCGAATTTATACAAAACTAAATTATAAACAATATTGTCTAACATCATAACACTCTGCAGCAACTCGGTATACTCTAAAACACTCTTAAAAAACATATCAGGTGTACAACTTTGCTTCCGCCATCATTATAAAGAACTTTTATAGTAAAAACGGCGGAAGCAAAGTTGTACATTTAATATTAAACACAAACAAAGATTAAACAAACAAAATAAATTTGTTTTGGTTCGTCGCTTGTAACTTTCAAACCATTCGATTAATATGAATGATGTGTAAGAAAAATTTGTTCTGAATTAAATTATAAACAATATTGTCTAACATCATAATGCTCTACAGAAACTCGGTGTACTCTAAAACGCCCTTAAAAAACATTTTAGGTACAACTTTGCTTCCGCCATTGTTATAAAGAACTCTTATAGTAAAAACGGCGGAAGCAAAGTTGTATTGATCAAAAACAAAACTGCTTCAGTTTAATTTAATCAATACTTTAATAGAATATAACTAATCATTATAAAAATCTTATTTACAATTTAAAACTAATATTGCACTTAAATTTATTTATTTATTATTTTAACTCTAGCAGCGTCCTCGACTAGTGCTGTGAGCTCTCTTAGCATTTTAACACTGTAGATTTCGACACCACTTTTTTAATACTTTCAGAATAGTTTGTTACATCGACTAATAGTTGTAAACGGATTTTGTCGTCATCTGTAATTCCTACTTTTGTATCTGCTGTACTATTTATAGTACTCGTTGTTTTATCCCGAATTTGTTTCAAACGACGAAGAGACTCTTCTGTTTTTTGAACTGAGGATAGCAGGTCGCTCATGGCGGAATATAATCTGTAAAAGATAATAAATGATAAGAAATTTTGTGGGGAAGGTTAGAAAATGTTGTATACAGATTTGTAGATTGTTTTATTAGCTTTATAATGATATATAATAATAGATATATGTTGGAAGAAATTATTGGCAAAGTTTTACAAAATGTAAAAGTGTTACCAGGACTTTGTATTCGATTTGTGAAGTTTAAAGAATTTTTATAATTTAATTTTGCTCTGAAAGTTTCAAATTGTTAAATACACATTTATAGATAATTTTATTACCTGTCTAATGATATATAATAATATATATGTGTTAGAACAAATTTAAACAATATAGATGTTAATATAAAAAATGTAACCAAGTACAAAATCAACTCCTTATAACTACAAGCAACTAAATGTTCACTTTCAAAATTTAAACATTTTTTTTTATAAAATTTTCATTCAAATGTCGTAAACATATTTATAAATAATTTTTAAACAATTGTTTTCGAAAGTTTGAAATTTAAATTCTAACGGTTGTTAAAAACGCGCGAACTTCACTGCAATCCTTACGTGCAGTAATTTTGTTTCAACTCGATTTGTTATTCAATTTTAAAGTTTAAACATTTTTTTTAATATAATTTTGTTCTAGAAGTTATAAATTGTTATATACAGATTTGTAAATAATTTTATCAGCTTTGCTATGATGTATAATAATATATACGTGTTTAAACAAATTTTTATCAAAATTTAACGAAACGTAAACAAATGTAACTAACAGACTTGGATTCACATGTAAACGACTTAATATTCGATTATAAAGTTTAAACAATTTTTACAATTAAATTCTGTTCCAAAAGTTATAAATTGTTATATACAGATTTATAGATAATTTTATTACCTTTCTAATGATATATAACAATATACATTTGTTTAAACAAATTATTAATAAAATCGTTCAAATATAAATAAATTGTATACCTAAAATGCACTTGATGACTTATAACCTTTTTAATGTACTATATTATTATTTCAGAATTTTGTTCAAAATATATAAAGTTTATTATATAATATTTAAGTAGACACGTTGAAGTAAAGCATACTTAAATTATCATATTCTGGTATAAACGATGTACCCTGAAGAGCTCATCAAACGTGACTTTTACATTAGAAAAAATGATAGAATTATTCTTAGAAAAGTTTGGTAGAACATATAGTACTTTGTAATTATATTATTTTGTTAGAAAAGTTATTAAACGTTATATACAGGATTATAGATGATTTTATTAGCTTTCTAATAATATATAACAATATATATGGGTTCAAACAAATTTTTAACAAAAATGTAACCAGCAGACTTGGATTTACATGTAAGCGACTTAATAAAGTTTAAACAATTTTTACAATTTATTTTGTTCCAAAAGTTGTAAATTGTTATATACAGATTTGTAAATAATTTTATTACCTTTCTAATGATATACAATAATATATATGCGTTAGAACAAATTTATAGAAACAAAATATAGAAAATTTAGAACAAAAATATAGAAAAATGTAACCAAATAAAAATCAATTACTTATAACTACCAGCAACTAAATGTTCACTTTTACATTTTTTTCAATAAAATTTTCTTTCATTAATTTTTTATTAATATATAATATTATATACCCCTTTAAACAATTGTTTTTAAAAATATTTCAAATTTGAATTTAAAATCTTAACGGTTGTTAAAAACGCGCGAACTTCACACTTAAAGTATTTTGTTCAACCCTTACGTGCAGTAATTTTGTTTCTTTTTTCAATTATAAAGTATAAACATTTCTTTCGACATAATTTTGTTCCTAACATTATAAATTGTTATATACAGATTTGTAGATGATTTTATTGCCTTTCTAATGATATATAATAATATATATATATATATATATATATATATATATATTAGAACAAATTTGAACAAAATAAACGTAAATATAAAAAATGTAACCAAGTATAAAATCAACTCCTTTTAAATATAAGCAACTAAATGTTCCCTTTCAAAGTTTGAACAAATTTTAAAATGTAATTTTATTGTTAATAGATAATGTTATAACCTTTTTAATGATTTATTTTAAATTCAAATTTTAAATCTTAACGGTTTTTGCAAACGCGCGAACTTCACGCTCAAAGTATTTTGTTCAACCCTTACGTGCAGTAATTTTGTTTCAACTCGATTAGTTATTCAATTATAAAATTTAAACATTTTTTTCACTATAATTTTGTTCTAAGACTTATAAATTGTTATATACAGATTTGTAGATAATTTTGTTCGATTTCTAATGATATATAACAATATATATGTATTAGAACAAATTTAAACAATATGAACAAAAATATAAAAAAATGTAACCTTATCCACTTACCTTTCAGTAATAGTTGAAAATATAACCCCCATCCACTCTTTAATCTCGTGCTCCAAATCTTTACCATACTGCTCCTTAAACTTCAAAGGAGTCTCCAAAATCAGACTAATGTACCCACAAGGCTTATTCGGGGTCTCACGATTAGTCTTTCTGTACAGACGTGGAATATCATTGACTTGCCTTATATACATAACACTTTGATTCGAAATCTCTTTTATAACTTCATCTTTAATTGGGGGCACACATTGTAGAAGAGAAGTCTTGGAGTCTTCTAGAGATTTAGATAAAAGACTCGTGTGGTCAGGAAAGCTAGGTTTGGACATGTCGAGGATTTTGGGTAATCGAGTGAGTAATAAGTGGATGTCTGTGTGTACCAGGATGTACTTGTGTGTTTTTTGGTCGTCTGTAGATTTTGTCAGGAGCCCTAAAGTGTCTTTGACCCATGTGCAATAGCGTGATAGTAATTGTAAGGTTAGTTTCCAGAATTTGTGTGCAAGTTGATGCAAAAAAATGCCTTTAGACCAACATTTTTGGATGCAATCATATAGCACCAAAGTTTGTTGCAACTTGAAGTCTTGTGTGTGTTTTATTTCTTCTAAAGTTTTTGTGCAAGCACTTTCAAAAGCCCCCCCGATCTCCTGAAAACGTATTTGGAAGTACACAGGCAAATTCCAACGCTGTTGAAAACTTTTGTACTGGTCATGTTGTTTAAATTGTGAAACTAATTTAGGGGTTGTAAAATAAGTTTGTAAAGTATCCAAAAACGTTGTAGTCAACGTATATTTATCATAAAACACCTCAGGGTTCCCCGGTGCAAAAATAGACGCAGTGTGAGTCTCCAAACGCGTTTCAACCTCCGGCCAAAAACTGCACAACAAAAAATCTTCTGGTAATAAAAACATATTGGTTTTAATAAACTCCAGGACTTCCCCGTACACAAATTTCAACCCCCGCGTTTGCACATTTGACTCGTTTATCACAGTGTGCATTGCAGGTGCTACAAATTCCTTACGGAATAACATTTGAGCCTCAGAAACTTTATCTAAAGTTGTGTACAGTTGTAAGCAACGTGCAAGCATTTGTTTATCCTTAGTTTTTAAACAAAAACGAAAAAACCCATCGATTTCATCACACACACGTGTGTGTATCCGGTTTAAGGCATCCTTATGCACATTATCGACATGCTGACAATTGTCCATACAAAATTGTAGCTGATTGTATTCTAGTACAACCCTCTCGAGCACCTCAGACTTCAACTCACAATGCGGTAGTAAAGAATCTAATTTAATCACACTTTGTCGTATACGTATAAGATTTTTTAATGAGCGTTTTTGCTCACGCAAAAACGCTTGTTGTTTCAAACACTCCTGAATCTCACTCATAACATCCGTGAGTGTCAATTTAATCAACAAAATCTCTTCTTTGAATTGTCCTAAAGGTGTTTGAATGTTTTTTATCGAACCATCCAAACCCACTAAGTTTGCTGACAAATTAACAAAATCAGCATAGTCTTTATTTATTAATTCTATCATCGAGGATCTTAATACTTTTAAATATATGCCTAAATCGTCACGCATTGTTTCCAAATTTGCAGCATTACGGTTTTCTTGTAAAAATTCGTCCACTGAAAAAGTTTTCTGCAAAAAAAGTTAGGTTAGGATTTGGAAAATTTAGGTTTTTTATACCTTTTACCTTCATGAAGTCGTTTTTGTTGAAGCATAAGCCTTTAGGGCCGTCTGGTAAACTAAATGTATCACTTGTTTTATCCATTTTTAGTGTAAATAAGTATTTATTTATATTTTTTGGTGACAGTGTTGAGAAACGTCAAAATTTGACACATCACAACATGAAAGGGGCGCCTCTTGCGGCTTCGATGCACAACTTTTGCCCGCGAGATTCAAATGTTAAATTTGAACTTTAGATGTAAAGTTTGAACATTTTTTGTTGATAATTTTGTTCTGAGAGTTTTGTATGTATATATACTTAATTATAGATAATTTTATAAGCATTCCAATGATATATAATAATGTTGAAATATTTGATTAAATTTTAACAAATATAAGTATAAACCAAAACGTTGATATGAGTAGATAAAGATTCTAATTTCAAAATTTAACCAATTATTTTTATATAATTTTGTTCTAAGAGTTACATATTGTTATATACAGTATTAAAGATAAGTTTTAATTTTATAAGTTTTATATTAACTAATATATTAGCTTTTTAATGATATATAATAATATTAATATGTTTAATTAAATTTTAACCAATATAAATATAAACCAAAACGTTGATGTGCGCTGATGACGATTTTAATTTCAAATTTTAACGAATTGTTTTTATATAATTTTGTTCTAAGAGTTACAAATTGTTATATACAAATTTATAGATGATTTTATAGGCTTTTAAATGATATATAATACTTGTAATATATTGGCTTACATTTCAAAGAGATTAATATAAATATAAACCAAAACGTTAATGTGGGCTGATGAAATTTTAGTTTGAAAGTTTAACAAAATATTTTTATATAATTTTGTTTTAAGAGTTACAAGTTGTTATATACAGATTTATAGATAATTTAATTAGCTTTCTAACGATATATAGAATAAATGCGTTAGAACAAATTTAAACGATATAAACCTGAATATAAAGAAATGTAACCGAATAAAAAATCTACTCCTTTTAACTACAAGCAACTAAAAGTTCATTTTTACCATTTTTTCAATATTTTCTTAAATAATTTCATTAACTTTTTATTTGTATATAATATTATATACCCGTTTAAACAATTGTTTTTAAAAATATTTGAAATTTGAATTTTAAATCTCAACGGTAGTTACAAACGTGCGAACTTCACACTCAAAGTATATTGTTCAACCCTTACGTGCAGTAATTTTATTTCAACTCAATTTGTTATTCAATTATAAAGTTTAAACAATTTTTTAAACATAATTTTGTTCCAAAAGTTATAAATTGTTATGTACAGACTTGTAGATAATTTTATTTGCTTTCTAATGATATATAATACTATATATGTGTTAAAACAAATTTGAAACATAAAAACGTGAATGTAAAAAAATGTAACCGAATAAAATATAAACTCCTTATAACTACAAGCAACTAAATGTTTACTTTCAAAGTTTAAACAATTTTTTTAATATAATTTTGTTCCAAAAGTTATAAATTGTTATATACAGATTTGTAGATAATTTTATTAGCTTTGTAATGATATATTATATTATATACATGTTTAAACAAATTATTAACGATATTGATGAAAATATAAACAAAATTGTAACTGGAAACACCACAAACGATTTGGTATTCAATTATAGTAAATGTTTTTTTTTAAACAAATTCTTATCATTTTCTATCATTTTTTTTTCAATTTAAAAAGTGTAATTTTAAATTTAACGTAATTATTGTGTTTTGAAATATTTTCTAAAAAATTGCAGATTTACAGGAAATTTTATATGACACAATTTCTTTCTATCTTTTATGATTATATTTACGATTATATTTTCTCTCAAAACTGATATTTTTTGTACATTTAGCTCCGTATCTTCGTAACGGCTGAACCTGCCTTTGCCAAAAACAAATCAGCACATCTCCCCACCAATAAAAATCGAATGTTTTTTGAATTACTCAAATCGGTTGATCCGTGTTCTCGAAATCGTAGCCAAAAAAAATGTCACACATCCATTTTTCTAAAGAATGTCAAAATGTTTAGAAACATTTGAAACGTAAAGACATGAAAAAAAAAATCATTTTCGGGAAGTTAACTAGATTCAGTTTGCTCGTCTGTAGATTTCATTTTTGTTTCGAGTTTCCTTTTCTGTTTTAAATCGCGTTTGTTCGTCAGTAGAGTTCTTTTCACTCTTAATTTAGTCAAAATTTAGTTTGTCAGTTAAGAGTTCTAATTTACTTTTTTTTAATCGAGTTTGCTTGTCAGTAGAGTTCCTTTCTCTCTCTAATTTAAGCAACATTTAATTTGTCAGTCACAAGAGTTCCTTTGTTTCTTTAAATCATATTTGCTCATCAGTAGATCTTATTGTTAGCAGAGTTAGAAAACTACTATGATGATTTGTATATATATATATATATATATATATATATATATATATGCACGTCTGTATGGTTCCTTTTTCTTTTTTGTTTCTTAAAAAATCTTTCAGTCAGTAGAGTTCCTTTATTCCTTTACAAAGTATTTGTTCGTCCGTAGAGTTCCTTTTTCCTTTTTAAATCACGTCTGCTTGTTTCTTTTTTGGTCTAGTCCTAGTAGATAACAGAATTCTAGATGGTGCAGTTATCATTACATTCCTCTTTGCTTGTTTATATGTAAAATACGCCTGAACGAACCGCAATTAGATAGACATTTTCACAGTCAGTCTTCATTAATATCAAAAGCAAACAAAAATATCAATGACTCGAATCGAAAACGACGCAAACCGAAACCCGGCTGTAAATAAAAATAAATACACACATTGTAAATATAAAATAAAATCATTTACTCAATACAACCATACAAGTCCTTATTAAAACTTCACCCTCATCCTTATCCTTCAACCATCCTCCTCCTGCATCTGCTGAATAAGCCTCTTCCTCTCCTCGGCCTGCCTCATCTGCCTCAGCACCAAACTTTCAAAATCCCTTTCATTAACTAAATTCGACCCTTTACTCTTCCTCTTCGGCCCTTCGCCGATCCATTCCAACTTTAATTTATTCTCTGGTAGCCCTAATTCGTACTCCACTGCCATTTCGGCAGCATCTTGAGTTTGAAATTCGACAATGGCCGAGCCGTTTTTAGCAGACATTACTAAAACATTTATATCACCATATTTGGACAAAAATTTTGTTAAATTGGCTTCGCTATAACCACCGTTGGTTTGGTCGCTTTTAGAAGCCTGCCATTTTATTTTTATTCGGTGCTCGTTGGGGTTCCATGTAGGTTTTGAATTTAATTCGGCTAAGAGTTGTTCTTCAAGAAGACGTTTTTCTTCTTCCACCAACTTTGAACCTTCTTTCCGCAACCGTTCGATTTCAGCCTGCAACTGTTCCTCAGGCGTCTTACAACTAAAACTACTTTTACTCTTAGATTCTAAAACAGCACTCTGTTCTCGTGCCTCCAAATTCGATTTCAACTTTTGTCTTTTGCTGTCTAATTCTTTATGTCGTAATTCTGCAGCCTTTTTGGCATTCAATATTCTGTCGTAGGCCTCTCGTGCTGATTTGTCACAGAGGATTTCTAGGGCTTTCGATAACTGGTGAAAAAGTTCTGCTGCTTTTGGATTGTCGGGGTTTTTATCGGGGTGACATTGTAGGGCTTTTTTCCTGTAGGCTTTTTTTATCTGAAAGAGGAAAAGATGGTGGAATTAGTTGTCAAAAAGGTTAGGTTTGGTAAGTGATAAGAATTAGTTAATAAGTTAAATGGTAAGAGATAAAAGATATGAGAAATATTTAAATAAGTATAATATTTAATAAAAGTGTATTAATACTATAAGTATTGAAGTTATTTCATAAAATTATGTTATTAAATATCAATTGTCGATCTTAACCTCAAACTTTACAACTAAAATAATAATTTTCTATTTACCTCTTGTGTCGTGGCAGATATTTGTATATTAAGTAATCCATATAAATCCACATCTTTTAAATCTTTCACATCAGCCATAATTTATATTAAGTAAGCACAAATATCAAAAATAAAATAATTATTACTAGCTTTTAAACGTCAAACAATGTCAAAGTCTTCGTCGACTGTCAGTTTGCAGTTGAGGCAGCCATCTTGTTAGTGTAAACTGTCAAATATAATTTTTATAATAATAAATCTTCAAAATTAAAATAATAATAATTAAATAATTGATAAAATCACATTTTGTTAATATACATATGGTATAAGATTAAAATGTTTGTTAAATCTTTTAAATAATTTCCAAGTTGACAGTTCGAAGTTGCGGCAGCCATGTTTGTAGTGAAAACTGTCAAGACATATTTAAAATACAAAAAAACAATAATTTAGTTATATAAATCACAATTATAAGATTAATATATTATAATTATAATTTATGTAATAATTTTAATTATTGTTTATCATTTAATATTCGAAAAAAGTTTAAACAGCTAAGTTGACAGTTGATGAATATGTCAGCCATGTTTGTAGTAAAAACTGTCAATGCACATAAAATATAATAAAACAATAATTTAGTTATATAAATCATAATTATAAATTTAATATATTATAATAATAATTTATATAATAATAGTAATCATTGTTAATAATTATTATTCGCAGAAATTTTAAACTGCAAAGTTGACAGTTGATGAATGTCAGCCATATTTGTTGTAAAAACTGTCAAAACGTATATAAATTAATAACAAAATAATAATTTATTTACAAAAATCATTAAATATATAATTCAAATTTATAATTTATATATTAATCTTGATAATTATAGAATCGTTAATAATTATTTAATTCTAAAGCCAAGTTGACAGTTGATCAATGTGTCAATGTGTCAGCCGTCAGCCATGTTTGTTGTGAAAACTGTCAAAACATATTTAATATACAAAAAACAATAATTTAGTGATATAAATCATAACTATAAGTTCAAAATGTGATAAATATGTGTTATATTTCAATATTTGTTTATAAGTTACAAAATCACGCGAAGGAAATCAAAAAAAAGTGTCAACTGTCAAGTAACAACTGTCAAACGTCATAACCAATAAACAAAATAAATATTATGTAAACAAATAATAAATAAAAATGCCTGGTAGAATTAAAAGCTTATTAAGCGAACGGGTAATAAAATATTATATATATAGATATAATATACTATAAATGTTTTTTCATGTTGTACTATATTTATATTTTTGTTTTTAGGTTATAGAGCATTTAAGAAAAAGCGGTTTAAATCACCCACAGGCTTCCATAGCACCTTTTATACAAATAGGTGCTTACAAAAACAACTGTATAGAGCTCCAAATACCTTTAAATAAACTTCAGCATCAAAATTTTGATAATTTTGCCAAAACCGATTTGTTTTATGATGTGCATATAAACACACAAGTGAAATATCCTTATGTGTGCTTCAAAACAAGCACTAAAGACTTTATAAAACACACATTAAACCTGCAGTCTCAATTATACCTCCGCAGGCCTAAAACAGGTATAAAAACTCTAGTCGAGTTCAGTTCTCCCAATATAGCAAAACCTTTCCACGTGGGGCACTTAAGGTCTACGATAATAGGAAGCTTTATAGCAAATTTGAAAAGTTTTTTGGGGCACGATGTGATACGGTTGAACTATTTAGGTGACTGGGGCACTCAGTTCGGTTTCCTTAAACTCGGTGTGGACTTATTGAATATAAACGATGATGAAATGCGTAAGAGCCCTATAGAATTATTATACAAAGCTTACGTGCATGCTAATAAGTTAGCACAGGAAGATTCTACTATCAGTGATAGGGCTCGTGAGGTTTTTGCACGTTTGGAACAAGGTGGTGCTGAGGATATGGAAAAATGGCATTTATATCGCACATATACAGTTGATGAATTGATTCAAGTGTATAAAAGACTCAATGTAGAATTCCAGGAGTACCATTGGGAGTCCATGTACGACCGTAAAAGCATACACAACATTATTAAATTACTAGAAACCAAAAACATCCTCAAAACATCCCCTGACGGCAAGAAATACATAGAACTATTCAACCGTAACGTGACTGTTATCAAGAGCGATGGGTCATCCTTATATTTATCCCGGGACATTGCAGCAGCCCTAGACAGGCACACAAAGTACAATTTTGATAATATGTATTATATTGTGGATAATGCACAAACGGATCACTTTGTAGCCCTTTTTGAGACTTTAAAACAAATCGATACAAGTTTGTATGAAAAGTGTAAACATGTAAAGTTTGGTCGTATCAGGGGAATGAGTACGAGAAAGGGTGATGTTGTTTTTTTGAGTGATATACTCGATGAAGCTAAGGATGTTATGTATAAAAGACAGTTGGAGTCTCCAAGTAAGTAACAATAACGTAACATTTATGTTTAGGTTAAGGTAAAGGACACTTTTTTGTGTTTTTGTTTGTACTGTTGCTGTTTGCTGAAATTAATATATGTTGTTGCATATCAAATGATTAGTTATAAAATCATCTACAAATCTGTATATAATGATTTTTGAAGTTTGGAACAAAATTTTGCAAAAAAAATTTTTTAAACTTTGAAAGTGAACCTTTAGATGCTTATAGTTATAAGGAATTGGTTATTGTTTTATATTTTCGTTTATATTATTTAAATTTGTTCCAAGGCATATATATTATTATACATCGTTTAAAACATAATAAAATTATCTATAAATCTGTATATAACGATTTTGAAAGTTTGTAACATAATTTTGTAAAAAAATTGTTTTAAACGTGTCAATATAGGTTAGTTTGATGGCGTTTTTTT